TAAGAAAAAGACACTTATTTTCTCTTAAAATAATTAAAATATTGTAGTTTTTGTTTTGGATATACTTCAACTGGGGATTTTTCGTACTTCTTTAACGTATAAGGGTTGAAAATAAAATTTTTCTAAATATTGAAAAATGCAGTTAAATATGTACCTAAAATTTTAGGAAAAAAAAATTCGCAAAATATTCATACTTTCAGAGACAATGAGTGTCTTACGTTAGTTGGATCACCCTGTACACTGTAACTTTTTTAATAATGGACCGATTCTATCGAGAGCAACTCTATAAATAAAAAATTTAATTAGTTAATACTTTGAGGTAGGGATTTTTTGTTTTTTTGGGGAGGTTTTAGCCGTAATTTTAGGACCTTTTAGTTGAAATTTTGTCTGAAGTTAGAACTCTTATGATGTATAAATGACATATTAAACAAAGAAAAAAATCTGGACCAACAGTTTTTTTTTTAATTTTATTTCCAAAAAACCGATTTGTTTGCAGATTTTGGATATTTCAACATAAACACGTCAAATATTAAAAAAAATATTATCAAATCATGACAACATTTGTAAGGTCGTCTATTTGGTAGTTAAATTATTTTTCGGACAATCACAGAATTCTTGATAACAATTTAAAATATTTTTTTTCATCTAAACAAGGCTACGCATATTCTCTATTATTGGCTAAACAAAAAATTGTACACAATTTTTTTACATATTTAAATATGCTCTGCATCGAAGCTAAAACATTTTTCTGGATTTTTGTGTAAAAGATTTCAAAAGTGGTTAAATTATATGTTTTCGGGGTCGGTGATTACGAATTTTATATCGGTTTTCAATTTTAACCAGCCAAAAAAAACTTAAGTAAAAAAAATAAAATATTTTTATAATTTTTTCCAAATAAAAACTGTACGTGAAAACAGTTTTTTTTTAATTTTCCGAAAGTTTAACTTTTAGGACTAATTCCCTTTTCATACATATTCGATTCAACTTATATGTTATGTTACCGTCTGTTGTACTGTATCTGCGAACTTGTATCTGGTGCATAGTACTTACTCTGGATTTCCCGTGCCGTTCTTCCGTGTAAATAGTTTCCGACATTAACGGCGAGTGCATGACGGTTAAACGGCGAGAAAAATGTTCTTCCGGTGGCAGCAGAATCCGCAATGACCGACCGCTTTGGTTTCGGTGCCAGTCGCAAGAAATCTTATGGGCGGGCTATCTCGACTGGCGGGTTAAATTAACGCATACCGTCGGCAAGCGGACAACCGCAGGCTAGCATCAGAAAGTCATTGATCGACCATGTGGCTTTTTTTTTTGTTCGGGGGGAGCTTTTGGAACGACGCCTTGGACCGTCCGCAGTACACCGTTGGGCAGATAACCGTTGGCAAATGGCACCGAGTCGACACACACCCTTTGCCGAGCGAGGTAAATAATAATATGCGTACAACGCCGTACGCTCGACTTTGACGGAAACCCCTTGGCGCTGTCTGTTGGCGCTGAGAGTTAATTGTATTGCCGTCAAACGCCGCCCAACCGAGTACTCGACGGCGCTTTCTAATGGAAATGATTGAATTATGTTTAATTTTGTTTACGCGCGTTTACATCCTTCGGTCCCGCTGAAAGCTTTCGCAATTCGTTCGGATACACTTATAAAGCAAACGAATATAATATAAAATGACTCGTGCGAGAAGGACTTTAGCGAAGAAAATGCCATTAATACATAATAATATATTCTTTACCGCCGCGTTTCTCTTATAGACGTACCGTCGATTCGCGTTAAAACGACTTGCCCATCCCACGAGACTAAAATCCGTTGAAAGCAAAAATATCAAATTCTATATAAACGGCCGACGCAACTGTCAACCGCTCTTATTTTCATAGCAATGGTTCAATCGCGGTCTTGATTACTATTTACAATAACGGGGATTAATAATATTATCTGAAGTGCTTGGTAAACAGTTTTATATTTTGCACAAATATGTGTTTAATACAAATTTATTTTTTTGATATTTGGGTATATTATATTATGTTGTTTAAAAAGTCAACAAAAATTGTATTCTGATACAAAAAATCCATTTTTATTTCTTAAAGCCACAAACTAAACAAATTTAAGTATATTGATTGCACACAATAATTGATTTTTTTTGTATGAAGGAGTCTAAGTCCATTATACTAATAATTAAAGCTGCGTTTTTGAAAAAAAAATATCTTATAGAACTGAATTTCAGTTACCTACCCAAAAGCTGTTAACTTTGATAGAGATGTTAAATTTTCATACTTTTTTGAAAATAACAAAAGTTTTTCTCGTTTTACTGACAGTTTAAAGTTATAAACTTTTATTTTTTTTTATTTTACAAAAAACCATCTGTACAATAAGTTTTTTTTTTCTAAATTATATTACAAAGCTTGAATATATTGAAGAGGAAACCACCCATTGGTAACAAACACCTCTATATGTAAAGTTAAGTTGGTATTGATGAATACTATAAGCAATAGATTCTAAACCCAAGTACTAAGAGAAACAAAACTAGTTAAAATATTAACAAAAACTTCTAGCAAATGTTCTGTATGACTTTTATAGTCCTAGTATAATTTTCCGGTGCCAACTACACCCAGGTCAAATATTAACATAATAGAAAAATACTAATAAAGACAACTGAGCGAACAATGAAATTGTATTAACATTGTTAACACCAAATTGTGAATTTTTATGAAATTTGAGTTTTACAAAATATATATCTATTACATAGAAAACGTAACTACGTTTGCTAGTATCAAATTTGACAAAAACGAATATTTTTGTAAAAACAATAAATTATGTCGTTTTTGAAATAACCGGTTCCATTGTAATTATATAATATAATGTATTGTAATAATGTGGCTGTAAAACTAAATAATGGCAGCACATGATTAAAGTTTTGTAAGATAGTGATATTAATTTCACAAAGCGTTTTTATTGCGTCCGTTATACGATGTGTTATTCAGACAGTGTAATTTTAATTATTTTACAAAGTATAAAAAATTTGTAAAAATAATTATTTGTTTATAATTTGTGAAATGAGCAGGATTGCTGTCCACTGTATGAAGTTAAAAAATTATACGATCGAACATACAGATACGTGTAGATGTTCAACGGAGATGCTGAATCTTTAGACTAAAATTCTTCAGATGTTGTTCAGGCTGTTTAAGTGTGACACTAGACTAGTTCCTAATGCTTAACTCTGCAATATTAACTGGCAACGTCAGCACAAAAATTCAAGATCTGCAAATGTTGCGAATAATATAAAGATATGTGGGCTGTCTGTGGTTAGATTTTTTTATAACGTTTACATAAATCAAACATTATTTTTAAAATAGTTATTTTTTTATATTTTGTTTGAACGACGTTATCTAAAAATACTAATAAATTTACACAGTTTAGATGTTTAGGAGTGGTTACATTTGTTTAACACAAATTACAGTGTACACAATTAGCCCTTCGTGAGTCATGTGGGGTATAAATGTACGCCAATATTTTATTTACTCAGTTTTATAACACAAATATTGACTAATGATAGCCTAACTTTCGTTTACCTCTCGATATTTATTTATGTGTATCCTATTGTACTCGTGCACATTTTGTACCCCACGAGACTAACCGTATAACTTTTTCCCATGGTCAGTTAATGTCTAATTAAACATTATTTTAACATTTTGTATTACATCAATTATAACATTAGCTGTGTGGTGTGGTTGTGGGGCGAAGCTCCACGACTTACATTGATGTTAGCCTCCCTCTCTTGAAATTTTAATGGATATCCACCTATATAATTTACCTATATATATTTAATAGCGTCTTTTTCCCTTAAATTTTCACAAGCATGTTTGTTCGGTTGTTTATATGAACCGATTACAATTTGGTGGAGATTGGTTAATAAAGTGATTGGAATTTACACAGACATTTTTTTTTCTTGATATTGTGAATGAGTATATCTGAAATTTTCACATTTTATGTAGTTGGCCGAGCTAGACATGTGTTAAAATGTTTGGCTCTCTAGCACAATAATTGTAAACGTTATTACTATTTTTGCTTTTTCGGTCGACAAGTCTATAGATCATAAATCCTAGCTAAATGATATTATATTGAAGTGCAAAATTAAAAAAAAATCATCCATTCCCCTTCAAAATCGGGAGAAACGCCAAAAAATAATAGTCTAATTAATTCAACATTTTATACACTTTGATAAACAAAAATTAATACATCAAATCCCTTTCCTTCAAAAGGAGTCGAACCTATTCTTCATTTCGCTTTTTTAGAAGAAGATTTAGGGCTTAAGATTTCAAAATTTGACCATATAAATTTGAAAAACATTTGAAGCCTTAGCATAAAATGGCACTAATATAATTTTCTATACTTTGATCTATAAAATTACAATAGCACCCTAATAAATGTTAATATATTTCATAAACTATTATTTACATTTTTTTTTTCTACTGGAGAGTAAAACATAAAAAATTGCAATAGAGCTTAAATTAGTAAGACGTAACATCAGAAGATACTTTGATAATTTGAATACCTTTATATTTAACGTGTTTCTATCGACTGTAATTATTTTGGATTCAATGAAAATTATTTCAAACGAATTTCGTTAATCTGTACTTCATTCAAATAGTCTACTATGTCAAGCGTGAAATTCAATAAAAGCATTTACAAAAAAAAATATTGTTTATATTCTAATATTTTATTTTCAATATACTTACGTACACAGAAAATAGCTTTGTACTTTAAATATAATTTCGTTCAAATTACAACTTGTTCAAATATTTTCAAACAAGTAAAGTAAACCAAACACAAAATAGTCAAACGTCTCCGACCGTGTACGAGTAAAACAAATGTTTATACATTTTTAAGATTTATACAGTTGATAGGACGTCTAGACTGCAGACTTCGATATGGAATTGTTTTTTTTTTTTGTAAAAATATCGCTGAACAAACATTTAAAACATTGCACAGGTTACCGCACTAAGTGTATTTACATAAGACATATTTACATAAAAGACACATCGACAAGACCGAAGACAATCGCATCCCAAAAGGCAAAACTCAGTTCAACAAGCTAATCCAATTGGTGTGTATCGCAGACGGTAAATCAGTTTAGGTAAGTTTTACCCTAAGACCTGTGAGTATAGACCTGTAAATATGAACTATGATTATAATTTATATTATTTTTATTACCATTACTACCGTACTTTGTAAACTAGTGTATTTTTATTTTTTAATAAAAATCCAAAAGACAGCGTATTAACCCTACACTGCGCAAATTAATTAAATCGATAATAATTAATGTGCATACAAACTAATCGATGCAAATTAAAATATATAATTGTAAACATTTATAAACTAATGGGAGCATTCATTATTTAACAGGAAAATTAATTAAATAATATTAATTTAAAACCCTAATATGTTACATCACAGATGATAAAATCAGATGTACAACTTACATTTCCTTAGTGATGATGCCATCAAATTACAATCCATTATCTTTTGAGTATTATATTTTATTAGTCTTCAGGATCATAGTTGTCAAAAAATAAATAATCAATTAACAACTAATGTGAATAGATTTTTTTTTTCCAGACAAAAATGAAACTTCTGTTTGTTTTACTATCGTTTGTCTTTGCAATTGTTTTGGCTGAACTAACTGATAGTAAGTATCACGAATTTTTTGACACGCTTAATGAACATGCTTGCTCGCTCATCATAAAGTATAATAATATATTCGTTTACTGTACACTTATAAGACATTTTATAAAACAATTTTAGAAATCCGATATTTATAATGATTATACATGTAATTAATATCTAAAATGTTTTATTAATAGCCGACTATAAGAAGCAAGTGTACATTTCAAGTGAGTACCATTAAGTTAATCCATAAAATATATTCTAGAGTTGTTTAAATACGTTTAATCTTTTTTTTTTTTTTTACATTTGTTTACCATTTTAATTACAGACAGCTTCCTCAGGGCGATAGAACCAATACACAGTAAACTATTTTAAAACAATTATTATATAGTAAAACAATGTACATATTACGTTCTTTCTGATAATTGAATCTTTAAATATTATTACAATAATCACGTTGTTCTATGAAACGCAACCTTTTTTTTTGTTGTTTTTTTTTAACTCGAATGATGTGACGGCATACACATATTGTATATATTAAGAGTAGGTATACAATTGTAGAAACTAGTAAATTTTGTTTAGTCAAAAAGAACGTTTATAATTTTGTATAATATTATAACAACATAAAAAAAGCTAGTACATTGAGGTCTAAGTATAGCATTGATGGAGCATAGTGGGCCGGAGAAATTAATTTTGAAAAATCTCTTTTTGCCGGAATCGAGAAAAACTGCATAAAAATGTTATTTTTCAATTTTAAAATTATTAAATTTTCAACGGATATTATTTCGATATATTTAAGTAATTTCAATTTTGTGTTGTTTACTTTTTTTGAAAAAATGGTCGTTTATGTTACGTTAGAATATTATAAAACTATTAATTATTTACCTTTTTAGGATGTTCAAAACTCTATCGACTTTTTAAACTGTAACATTTATATTTAATTAATTTTTTATATAAAAATAAAACCCAAGAAGTTGTTATTATTTTTAGAGAAAATTAGTGTCTTCCGTTGAATAGGATCACTCTGTTAAATTACAGATACATAACGTTACATAGTTAAAATTATTAAAAAATAATTCTAATAACTTAGAAATGTTTAAATATTTCAAAAGATATTTTCTTTGTTTATCTATTTTTAAGGGTAATTTTTTCTTCCCCTCGATCTCCCTTTGGTGGATTTTTTTATGTTTACATCATTAAATGGACACTATTAATATGTAAATAAAAATGTGTTTTCAGGTACTTTGGACAAATCAGTCAAAAGTTTAATATTGTCTGCTAAATCGATCAGTAAGCGTACCTACAACCTAGACAACAACCTAATTTCTAGCCCTCGTTTTTGACATACTAAAATTATTATAATAATATTTCAAAAATGTAAAGCGTCAACTTACTTACTTACTTGAACGACTTCATCACTAAAACCATATGAAGGTCTTTTTTATTATATATATATATTTTTTTTAATTGCGATGGCTTTTGTTAGGAGCTTTGGGATTTAGATATTTGAATAATAGCCAATCTCGTTGAACTCATAACTGCTTATTGATTTCAGCTACGTTGAATTTACAGTTAGTTGCACCAGGTAATAATACAACTATAACTCTACTTTAGACTGTTGCCCGTTTTGTAATAATAAATAAATAAATATGCTGTTATAGCAGTAGATTATTATATTTTATAGAAGTATTTTTCAACAGCTCATACGATTTTGTAAATATTATATTTGTTGAAATTTCAGAAATCGCTGATATTTATGAACCGGAGTTACTGGAACGTAATGAATTTTATATAATATTTTACAACCAATATATTGTTCATTGTAAAGTAGTCCTTAAATGTTTTTGTTTTTTTAACGAGTGTTGCCCTCTCAGTTTCCTTGTTACATCTAATGTGGAATAGTATTAGGGAAATAATACAAATTTATTTATTGTTATTAATAATTACAGTCAAGTGTTTAAAAATAATAATTCTTAATCGAGTTAAAGTACAGTCGCCACGTCACTGAAAGTAAATAACTTTGTTTATGTAAAGATATTAATTTACTAAATGTTTTTACAAAAAGTATATACATATGTATTTATTTATAAAAACTCAAACTTTTATCTGTTTATTTCAATTAAGAAAGGGCGAAACGCGTGATAGTTATAGTCACAATTAGTATTTTTAATAATTACACATATAATAGGTGTAATGACTGTTCAATAATGTAGATAAAGTAGATTTATAACCATTTTTTTTTTTGTTTTCAATTTCAGAATACATAAAAAACGAGAAACAAATACAGAATACAATAAGAATGGACCATGGTAAAAATAGGCACTGTATCAATTATAAAACCACCCTGCGTTTGATTGGTAAAATGTCTCCTAGAACCCTTACAATATTTTTGATCTCCAATAAATCTCAAGAATAAAAACCTAGATAATAGGCTCAAGGGTTAGTTGGAGTTCTAATTGAACGAGGGCCTAAGTGTCTTTCTACAGTTAGATTATCTATCGATCATCCAACGCTGTAATTCTTTAACAAATCTTGCAAGGTGAAATGAAGCTACTCGAATCATTGATAGCTAAGCAAATTAAAATTTTTTTTTATCATTGATTGACTAAGTTATCGCAGTTGTGTATAAAATTGTACAATGTAAAAAATTTGTATTACACTTCAATCATTTATCGTTTAATTTTGTTATTTATTTTTGTTACAGGCCTCCAAGATCCTATTCCCTCGAACATAAGTAACATACAAATAATTATTATAAAATCACTTTCGAATAACCCTTCGATGCGAAACTGAGTACCACGCAGAGGCCTATTATAAGAGTAACTTCATAAATGTTTTTATATAATGGTGTGATTAAGATTTTTGGTTTTTTCTGGATAAAAAAAATCGAATCTAAAGTATTAAATATCGATGAAAAGCATTGTAATATTAATAATTTGCTTAACATTTGAGTTTTATTTTTTTAAGGTAAATGCGATTAGGGTCTGTCTATAATAATAACTGTGACTAATGTGTACACTAAGTGTTCTGACTAGCTTTTAAATGGGAAGGGTTGTACTTTTTTCAATTTTCGTGCACAAAAATGTTCCTCTGTGCGTTGTGAATGATTTATAGACTGAATAAATTATGACAGGTCGGTCCAGCAACAATAATAATTAATTTAAAAATAAATTACACATTGTAAACAAAATCGTCTCAGCTTCGCATCGTAGCTCAAACACAAAAGGGAATTTGACATTTAGCACCGGTTATCAGCAATATTTACATAATATGTTTGAAGTTACAGATTTCAAAGCATTGGACTTGTCAGCTCTGGGGGCGACTAGAAGGAGTATAACTGGCCAATCTTTGAAACGTTTAATCTCGAATTTAGAAGGTAAGAATTTTTTATAACAAAACCCTGTATTAATGCATGATTTGTGTTTGTATATTTACGGCATAAGTGACTGCTCCTGTGAGCAAAGCCCAGTGTTAGTTTCCACTATCCATTGACTTTGATTTATAATATTAAAGCAACTCAGTTTACAATTAAAACCATTTATCAAACTAACTACATTTTTTCTTTTGTTAAGTATCAAGGGTGGGACGCTTGTTTAGACTTTTTACTTACAAACGTGAATTTAACTAAAAAAGCTTTAATATTGTTATATTGAAGCGAAGTCGTTGTAATTTATTAGTTTTTCTTTTTGCCGACACTATTTTTTAAACATAGTAATAAACAATATTCGAATTTATATTTATTATTTTTTTTTTTTTTGGAAAATTTAAATATTAACGTATGTATTTAACTAACGATTTAAATTAAGAACAATTTGCTGAAAATGGTTATCCAAAACTGACTATCGACTGGTGAAAATATTTAGTAAATTATTCTTAATTTTAAAAGTTTATTACATAAATAGTTTACTAATTAATTTTAAGTTGTATAATATTGGTATAGGTACGTACATAGCAAAAACAAAAATATTTTCAAACAGAAAGAAGTATTAGATTCCTATTTTTCAACATTCGTTCCTTTTTACAGATTATTTGTTACTACTTAGATTTAAGAGTGATCCGTGTGTTCTATGTAATTTAAATGAATGCATTTTTTTTTTAACGATTTCTCTTTTATCCGTTTCCGTTTTTCCCATGTTTACCCCGTGCAGCTGGCGTGTCAATATTTCACGCTGTCATGTTTAATAATTATTTTTATTTTTAAGAGGGTGATGTATCAATGCAATTATTTCGCCCGCTCCAGGCCTGTTATTTAATAACGTTGAATTTAACTCTACCAGACCCAAGATATCGAATAAAAGACGCTGGTATCGACAAACAAGGTGTTTGTAAAATTACTGAACATTTCGGCCGCCCGTTAACATTCATGAAGTTCGTAGACGGATTTTGGCGAGTAGACCAATCTACTGGCAAAAAAATACTCAAACTAATCTGAGATAATTGTAGAAAAATAATATTGTTTTCATAAATCGCCGTTTTATTTTGTCGATGAATTTACTTTTTTTTATTTTATTGACACGTTAATACACATTAAGTACATCCACGTCGAAATTGTTCAATCATATAGTTTCGATTTCAATACATCAATTCGTTTTCACTGTACACTTTATGTATAAGATTACATCTGTTTCGTTACATAAAAATATCATAATAAACAGTGTTTATCTATTGAAAATATAATGTTTTCTTATTGGAAACCTTTAAATCCGGTCCACAGCGACCCATTAATGCAGCTTTGCGTGTTGCGACAAAATGCTTTTCATGTCTCATGACAAATGTGCGGTAATTCATGGATACAGTTATTTAAAAATAACAGTTAAAATTGCTTAAATTTATATAGTTTGGACTGTTTACAAAGTGATCCATTTGATCTGAGAAACTCATTTACTCGGAAAATATAAATATTTTGAAAATTAATTTTTTCTTATACTTTAATTACATATACAGGGTGATACAACTAACGTAAGACACTCATTTTCTCCGAAAATATGAATATTTTGTAACTTTTTTTTTTCCTATTCTTTTAGGTATAAGTTTTACTATATTTTTCAATGCTTTGAAAATTTTTATTTCCATCCCGTATACGATAAAAAGGGTCTAAGTTCACGTTTTCAAATGGCAACATATGTTTTTAATTCCATAAATTTGTAGGCAAACATTTTTTAAAATATTTTATCGTTTGAATTATTAATTTTCATCCATCTAGTCGTTAGCTATGACTTTGTGAAGATATTACATTGTCTCTTAAATATTGTTATATTTCTTTGGGTTTCCAAAGACCGGGAGCCAATAAAATGCTGCTATGATGATAATACATAATATTATTATCATTAATCTAGTTATCATATTTTTCTACTATCTATGTTCTACATTCAACAAGTGACGGCATAGTACAACAGATTATTATGAAAATTATAATTTTTATAGGTAGTAAACAATAGCTTTAAAATTTGGCTTACAATCTCATAAGTGCATACATTGAATGGACAAGTGTCGCGAAGCGTTACTATTATTTGTTTAGTCATGTTCAATTTATTCAAAATATGTTCTGTGCTCAAATAATTGTTTTAAACAATTTACACTAAATAAGGAATTTTGGATTTGATTTGCTTACTATTTTAATTCTACAGTAAATATTTAAAATGTTGTCTATTTTACATTTATAACTAACTTTTTTTTTTTATATAAACAACTTTATTAATAAAAAATAATGCAATAAAGTGGACTATGTTTAAATGATTAAGTTGTCTTAAGACTAGATATTTTTAAACAGTGTTAAGATTTGCTGTTTCTGTAACGGTAAATTCTTCAACAACACTGACATTTTATTTTTTTTAAATTAAGTTACTTTCTTATCAAGATCCAGTTAATAAAAATATGGACCAAAAAGTTGTGACTCAATTACACTAAATCATACAATGATACTCAAACTCACCTGTGATTTGTTTTCAGAAATTAAGTTAAGGTTTGTGTCACGCAAACATTAAATGATCAAAACTTGTCTTTTTTATTTTATTAATTACAAATTAAATTAAATAGTTTATATATTTCTTATCCTTTTATTCGTACTAACTATTATTATAACTTATAAGATGTATAATATTATAGTAATAGCGATTCCAAAGCCTTTATAATAAAATATGTCTGTTTTAAACATTTTAAATTGAACAGTTAATTCTTTTATAGTTGAATCCGCTTATTTTGATATTATAATCAGTATTTTCTTATTTTCTTCACTATTTAATATCTAGACAATTAAAGCTTAATTGATTTTAGTTGTTTAAAAAGAAAACCATTATTTGATATTTCCTTGTTTACTATACAAATTAAAGTATTGACATTATTAAACTATTATAACGGGTACGTTTTACTAAGATTATGTAAAAGTGGCAATATTAAATCAAAAATATTAAACAAAAACAATATCTATACATTTGAAATTGTTCAACTTCTATAATACTGATTTAAGTTTTTTTCTTTTAACAACCGTTGGTAACTAAACAAATCTAACCAAAATCAAAATTCAATAAATAAAATTAACTATAAGAATTATCTTAGGCGAGTTCAAAAAAATAATTTACTTGTGTTACTGAATTCATTAAATACAAATTAATAGAATTACAACTTTTCAAAGAGAGAATTATTGTATATTAATAAATTTGACATAAAATTTAACTTTGATAGCCAAATACCTGTGTCAGTTATAGCTAAAACTTTATGATAAAATATCCGTAATGTATGTCAGACACTATATATGGGTTAAATCATTGTAGGAAATAACTTAACTGAAAGCAGACATTTGAACTACATTAGATAAGTTTAATCAAATAAAAATAATATACTTACAATAGGCTTAAAATAAAATAAAAAACGATATTGATATAATCAAGAAGTGATTCCTTGTATGTAATAATATGAAATTCATACATTAATTACTGATATTTTTAAAAATAAATGAAACTGGTCTGTAACACACTTTTCATTCAAATTGCTTAGTGTTGATATTATACATTCACATGAAAAAATGTCATATAAGAAATAAATGTTTTATACTTATAATTTACACCTTGATATATAATTGTAAGGTCTTGGGTCCAATTGGAAAGAAATTCCCATAGTAATTGATATGTCATACTCAAAACCAATTTTACATGATAACATTGGTTTTTAAAAGATAAAATATTTGCAGTAAAAAAGCATTCAACCTAAATTAAAAAAGCTAATTGAAATCGTATTGTTTTAAATTACCCATTAAGCTCTAATAAACTTACCTATTAAACTAATGCTTTATATTTAAATTTACACCTTGATATAAAATTGTAAGGTCTTGGGTCCAATTGAAAAGACATTTCCATAGTAATTGAAGGGGTCCGTGCAAAAACGAGACAACTCCATTTTTTTAAACTTTTCAAGAAACAAAAACAACTATTTTAAAAATATTGAGTTTAAGGTAAAACTAATGTTATTATCAATTAATATATATTAGACCATGATGAAAAAGATGACGTAGTACGTGATTTGATTAGGGTTTTTGATTTGAGATGTGAGCTAAAATTAACCCAAAATTGTTGGAGCTATCTTGTTTTTTGACCCGAACTTTGTATTTATTATTTCAATTTTTTTTTTTATCAAAAAATTATTAATATTATTTATTCTTACTTTAAGACAACTGATTTTAGTGTAGACAACATTCGGCGCAAAAACCAGATAACTCCGGAGCTATCTGGTTTTTCAATGGAAAAAAAAAAACCAGACAGCTCCAGTTCCATTATATTTCCTATACCGGTGGTCGGATTTGTCTCGTTCTTACACAGATATACTCGTCAAATTTTTCTTAATTGGAAACGGCCAAAAACCTATTTTCGCCAAAATTGGAGTTGTCTCGTTTTTGCACGGACCCCTTCAATTGGTATAGCCCATTCACAACACCATTGATATTTCTGACATGATAACATTGGTTTTTAAATGATAAAATATTTCCGGAAATAAAGCATTCAACCTAAAATAAAAGAGCTAATTGAATTCGTATTGTATTGAATTATCTATTAATCTTTAATGCACTTACCTATTAAATTAATGGCGTCTCCAAGAATGAAACGTCAAAATAAAGTCGAGAGCAAATGTTATCAACTGATATATTTATGCATATATTTCAAAAATTATAAAATACGAGTTATGACATAACTACAATATATGCATGCTATGATATTCACTATAAAGTAAAATGTAAATTTACTAACATTTTTTAATTAAGTTTGTAATTTCTCATTTCACTAATGGAAATCCGAAATTGTGTGAACTGTGAAGTAAAAATTTGTTAGCGAAAGAGGTTATGTACAAATAATAAAATATATTATGGTTACTGGTCATTCGATTATTCCGTGGTAACTGATGCATAGTTTAGATACTAGATTGCTCATCCAATATCACAGATAACTGTATATACCACCAATAGAGAAGATTGAAGCAGCCACTTTCCGCCATCCTGGTGGGAATTAGAACCTTATCACGCGAAAATAATATATGTTTATAACAATCATATATATATATATTATTGATATAATAATATATGCAGATATATAATATATGCATTGATAACACACTTAAATCCCACCAGTATGGCGGACCGTCGGCTTCAATTCTTATCGCTAGTTAGCAATCTAGTTTATTATATATATATCTGTGTCCAATACAACCAGCTAATGACTAGCTCCGACTAGATTAGGTTAAAGTGTAAAGTCCGTTATCAGTAACAGCCTACCTTTGGTCTAATAATGGGTGGTTATTTATTATATCTGATTATAATACGGAATGCGCTAACATCAAATTATTATATTTTATGTGATGACCGACGTAATAAAACTACTTGTCTTTGATGAATCGAATGAAATTATTAAGAAATATAGACAAAAATTCAAATTATTACAAAGTCATAAACAGCGAACAAATGGATGAAAATTAAAAATTCAAACACTAATATTTTTTTAGACGTTCTGTTTATATATTTATGGAATTTAAAACATATGTACCCATTTGAAAAAACGAAGTTCGTAATTCTTTAACGTATAAGGGTCAAAGATAACATTTTGCTAAATATTGAAAAATGTAGTTAAATATGTAGCTAAAATTAAAAAATTCTCAAAATATTCATACTTTCAGAATAAATGAGTGTCTTACGTTAGTTGGATCACCCTGTATATGTAAACAAAAAGTGTTAAGACATTTTAGCGTTTTAATTTAAAATCGTTATCAATCTGTTCGTTTACTACGACTTTGTAAATATATTGTATTTCCTCCTATTTCTGAGGTTAACCAAAAAACAGTAGCCGTCACCGTGTGTCAACTGTGTTATACACAACTATATAAATAAAAATAAATACATTTATTCTTATGTCAGACAAAACTATGTAAATGTTCTAAGAATTTTGTTGCTTTGGCAGACCACCTCGTTGGAACAAGCGTTAGGTAACAATGTGAAAAATCAAGCGCTCGTAATCAAGTAGAAAATGCTGATTTCGATAAACATCCATGACATTAATTAGGATCCGCAGACGTGTAAAACATGATGAGTTTATTGTTTCTTTGATTATATTACTGCTTAAACTTAAAACACTTTTCTCTTATCCTATGCCGAATACTAAATTGTTAGATTTTTTAGGTTGGTACTTAAATTGACTGGACGTATTTGGAGATTTCAACAATGTCGCCAAAGATATTTCGCTCAGGTAGGTATTTGAAAGTATTCAATAGACCTAAAACACGAATCTCTGAATTCAGCCGGTATCGGTTTTCGTGGACAACTCATTGTGCGGCAAAATAAAAACACAAAAGGGTCGTACCGTCCACGGGTACGGGCTCTATGTTATTCTATTGTCAGTCTGTGTGTGTTCGCATTAAATGTTGTATCGGTGTAAAAAAAAATAAGGACGACGAAATAAACAGCTGCGGTTCGACATATTTTCAGCTCTATTCAACAAACAAGGGATCGCTCTCAAGGCGTTTTATCGCCCGAATCGTTGACGAATTCCGTTTTTTTTTTTTTTTTGTCGCTACCCCTAATTATATTCCGATCTGTTCGAAGGAAGGCACGAAAACACACCCTGGCTGGAATCACATAGTTCCGAGTACAAGCTTTTGCGATGCAGCTGTTGTTTTGTCGTGTGATTGTAATAATATAAGATTTACACAAGGCGGCACTGAAATCCGTTTTTGGCAACCCTCCACACGCGTTTGTAATATTCACGAGGGTCTTTGTCGAAAGGACGGGATTGTTACTATGTACGTTCAAAACAGCCCTATAACACACACACGCACACACCCCATTTGGGGGACACACGGCGATGGGCTATTGTGATTATCAAATATAATAGGGTTTTTTACATTACACACGAACCAGCTGTTGTTCTGCTGTTGCCGTTCTATTGTCTGGGACCGTCCGACGATTAAATTAAAATTGCAGACCCAATAACTGCCACACTATGTCTATATGATGATTCAACAATGAAAGTGCACACGATACGCCCGCAATTACACTCAAAAACCGATCTAGAGCTTAAGACTAAGTTCTAAAGTAGAAATTTCTGATATCAGTACATTTTCTTATACCGACTTACCCCTTGTTGGTAATTACTACAGTAGCTTTTTCGTATAGTCTTTCACTCCGCGTGTAGATAGTGTGAAACGATTCTCTGAGCATGTTAATATAAAAAACACCGCAATTTCATACATTTCTGATACGCTAAATTTCCTCCATTTGTCGATAGTTTATACTTGTGAGCAATTTGGTTAACTGTTTTATTTATAGGCTAAAATATCTACCTAAACCTTTGATAGTATTACATGAAACGCGCACTATGTGAAACCATCAATATAACTGTCACATGCATAAATGTACAGTTGACGAGTATTCAAAGTAATAGAGAATACATATTATTTTAAACAAAATACGAATTTTATGTATTATATAATATCAATTTATACATATAAATATGTTTATATTATATTGACTGGGTATAAAAAGTAAATTTAGTAAAAGCATAAAGCAAACATTTTAAAATCGTTCATTTAAGATGTTGATTATATTATTAGCTAATTAATCATACAAATATGTTGTTACTGTTTCCTTCCCATACTATGTAATAATAAGTACAAAATAAAATTGGTTAAAAAATATTATTAAAAATGAATACTTTATTTAAATATATAATTACCAATAAACAGAGAATTAATTATCTTGTATTATGGATTAAAAAAATTGGTAGATGCAAATATTTTTTACAAATATCCTACTCTATATAGCTACATTAACTAAATAATAATACAAATATGTTGTTACTATTTTCTTTTTATGTTTGGTAATAATAAAAACAAAATCAAATTGGTCGAAAAATATAATTAAAAATGTATAATTTTTTAAATACTTGTTTACCAATGTATAGAGATATAATTATCTTGTATTATGGATTAAAATGATGAATGTAGATGTAGTTAGGAAATCTTGGCGAGAGTAGGTAGCGAACAAATATTTTTATCTTTCTAACAAAACATAACATATTATGCAAAAGAATCTTAACTTTTTTTTCAAATAAAATATTATATACTATGTAAAAGTTATAATCCGTTAACCCACAGACAGAATATTATTCTAATAATATCAATAATAATATATGATATACTATGTAAACATTATACAGAAAAAATTATAATCCGTTTAACTACAGTGAGCATATTTATATTTTTCACAATATTTGCAGATGTTAATTTTTTGTGCTGCCGTTGCCGGCTAATATTGCAGAGCATTAGGAACTAGTCTAGTCTCATATTTAAATAGTCTGAAAGATTTAGTATTTTAATCGAATCTGTATAAATCTGCATTCTCGATCATATCATATAATATAGAGTTTTTAAATGTATACAATGGACAGCACATCTGTCCATTTCACAAAATTCCAAACAAATATTTTACAGATTATGAAATAATTCAAAATTACACTGCCTGGATAATATTTCGTGTAACGGACACAAAAACGTTTTGTCTAATTAATATTACTATCTTACAAAACTTTTATCTTGTGCTGGCATTGTTTCATTCTACAATGACATTATATGACAATACATTATATTATTTAATTAAAATGGAATCCATCATTTCTAAAACGACATAATTTATTGTTATAACAAAAATGATTGTTTTGTTTAAGTTGATACTAATATACGTAGATACATTCTCTACGTTCAGACTACATTTGTCAAACTCAAATTAAATAAATAAAATCGACATAAGAAATGCTGCAAAGTCAACGTAAGACAATATTATGTTATATTATTATTGTTTGTTTGTTAAAAATATGTACTATGCAAAAGATATGACGGTTGTTCATTATTTATTATTTTTATATTATGTTTAATTGATATTCAGTTTTATTACTTTGTATGACCAGTTAAGTATTCAGGACTTCTATAGTTTGCAGTTATGGTATTTACCGATAATAAATGCTTTTTTTATTATTACATTGTAAACAAAATTTCACACGTTTATGCAATAGTATTAATGATATTTGCGTGCGATATTTACCTTTTTTATACACGGAAAGGGTTGGTTTCCTCCAACCCGTTTAGATTACCCGCTTGTTGCCTGCATGTTTTATATTTTATTTTTAATAATTAAATTAAAACAATTGGGTTACCTGTAAACATTGTATATATTTTATCAATTTAAACGATTACCGGATAAAATAAGACATTATAAATCTACAATTTCTATTTTAAACGGACAAATTTGTAAAATTAACAATTGTAGCTAAACGCTGTACAAAAATTTACAATAATGTGTTTAGTTAGCAGTATCACTGAACTGCTGTAAGTTGTAACTACACATTAAAATAATAATAATATATCCAAAAAAATATATATATTTTAAGTTTAATAAGAAGTACGATTTAGATTTCATATTGTTTAAGTTAAATTTTAAATTTGATACAGGACATAAACAGTAGGTCATACCTTACAAATAACCATATTTTAATGAATGTAAATTGTAAATACAATATGATGTCACAATTCAACAACCTGTTAATTTATTCTAGTCAATTTTTTAGAGTTTGCCCCAACCAGCTGTGGTATTAATTTTGGCCATAAAACTATATTATATAGGTTATTTTTGATATTGAAACGAAAATTAAGAGG